TCTTTGTAAAAAAAAAAGAGTTCTTGGCAGTGCCCTCGAGGTCCCGGATCTACCTCATGCTTCAACAGTGTTTGGATGGAACAGACCCTGACTCCCCTTCTTCCAGCCTCCGGCCACTCTCCAGCGTCATATCCAGTCACCACCTTCAGAACCACCTCCGGGACCAGCCAACACACCGTTTTTTTTGTGGTTTTTGGTGTGTTTTTTTTCTACCTTAATCCTTACTGCCAAACAACCACGAGCTCCCAAATTCATCAGCATTATTCCACCAGGGTGGAGGCTGCAGTCAACCGTCAACCGCCTGGCCCCCCTGCCTCTGCGGGCCCCCACACCTACCTCTCTCTGGCTTCTATTTCCACCTGGACGCTGTGGCTCTGGGGGGCGAGGGGCGTTTCTTCCGTGAGTTGGCGGAGAAGAAGCTCGAGGGCGCTGAGCGTCTCTTATAGTTGCAAACCCAGCGCGGCGGGCGCATCCTCTTCCAGGACAGGCAGGAACCCCCAAGATGAGTGGGCAGAACTCAGGGCGCCCCGGAAGCCTCCCTGGCCTTGGAGAGGAACCTGACCCAGGCCCCGTGGACCTGCATGCCCAGGTTCTGCCCACACAGACCCTCATCTCTGACTTCCTGCAGAACCACTTCCGGGTGGGGAGGTGAAGCTCATCAAGAAGATGGGCCACACCTGGCTCCCCTCCGCAGGCTGCCGCCCCCAGGCTGGGCTGGGTGAGTGTCTCTTCGAAAGGCTCACCCTCAATCACTACCAGGAGCCTGTGGAGCCCAGAGGCCTTTGATGGGCCCCTCTGCATCCCCTGGTGTCTGGCTTTTACCTGAGACTTTCCCCAAAACTACTAGCCATGCTTTTAACCACCCAAAAGCCCACCAAATGAAACAATAAAGCTTTTTGCAGAAAAAAAAAAGTTCTTATTGATTTCAAAGAGAGAAACATCGATGGGATCAGCTGCCTCCTGCATGCCCCCTACTGGGGGATCAGGCCGCAACCCTGGCATGTACCCTGATCCAGAATAGAACCAGTGACCTCTTGGTGCCTGGGATGACACTCAAACAACTGAGCCACACTGGCCAGGGCCATGAAGGTTTCTGAAGTCTGCTGCATGGTGAGCCTCAAGGATTGCACCCACTTTCCCCTCCATCTCCCAAAGTCAGCACCCAGAACAGGGCTCTGCGCACAGTATAGAGTCTATACTATAGACCAGTGGTTCTCAACCTTCTGGCCCTTTAAATACAGTTCCTCATGTTGTGACCCAACCATAAAATTATTTTCGTTGCGACTTCATAACTGTAATGTTGCTACTGTTATGAATCGTAATGTAAATATCTGATATGCAGGATGGTCTTAGGCGACCCCTGTGAAAGGGTCGCGACCCACAGGTTGAGAACCGCTGCTATAGACTGTCAATTGGTGCTGACACTCAGGGCCCCCCAGCCCACCATCTCCTTCCCCCACCTCCTCAGACTGAGAGCGGCCTGATTTTGATCTGAAACAAAAAGCAGAGTGCCTCCAAGTATGTGGGCCCCAATAGACTCCTAGGCCCTTTCCTGTTCTGGACAACCCTTTGTGATTCTTGGGTTGGTTCAGCAATGAGGTAGGAGGCCCTACTATATTTTCTTCTATGTCATTTTATAACATAACTTCTTCCCCTCTAGCTTTCTCCACTGATGTCTGCTCCCAGATTATTTCCCTCCAATCCCTGTCTCCTGCCCCCTCTATTTCTTTCTCTATAAGCCAAGTCCTGCTTCAACACACTTTTCAATACCACAATTTGGGAGAGAGGAAATATTAAGTATAGAATTATCGAAGGGATTTCTTTTTTCATAAAGAAATGCATCTTTATTATTTTCAAGTACATATGTAGTGCCTCAAACTAATGTCTTATAAAAGGTCACCAAGTAAAGGTCTTGCAGATGTTTCTTTAACAAATACATAAGAATTAATGATAATTAGCCCAAACACTCACAACTTCTAAATGGCGATTCCTAAAGTGCTTGAAAAGGATTGTTTTAGGGAGTCTAAATATGCCACCCTTAGCAATATTGTTTGTGCTCTTATTTTACTAAACAATTGCCTTTTGTATTGATTGTACAAAGATAAACTTTTGTCCACAGTCAATAAATCTCAAATTAACCAGGTTCTAACTTGTGTGGTTTCCCACTTAGTTTTCCAAGCCCAAGGCAATGACACTTACTTCAAGGCACTTCCCATAAAGTAGAATTCCACTGTAATGAAGTAACAGACATTGGGAGGTGGCTTATGGGCTTGGCCTAGAGTTTGCTTTTTCTGCTTCCTTCCTTTCTGCCTTAGGCCTTCCCTTTTCCTTCGGTGTCTCTCACTTGCTTTGTTCATCTAGGTCTCTCTGCAGGACACGCCCAGTGCCTTCTAAGCCAGCCTTAAAGAATGGGCAGAGCTGCCTGCAGAGCAGAAACGCTAGGGGGAGAGGGGGGAAGGGAGGGAACAGTATCTCCCGTAGGAACGGGAAACCAACTGCGGGCACCATGAGAAAGTGGCACAATGAACATCAGATGAAGGGCGTTTGTCTGGGAGGAACAGCCCTGCTGACTGCGAGGCCAAAGGCAGGTCCCTAGTGCTTTCCCTCTGGTCTGACCGTGTTCATGACCTAAGCTGATTCTGCATGTCCCTTGAAGACGGGAAGCTCTGGGAACCCCTGCACCCCAATTCCAGCTGTTGGCCAGGGAGCTCCTGGCTTGGCGGTGCCTAGGAATAAAGCAGGTTCATCAGCATGGGCGTGAGGGGGGGGGGGCGGGGGGGAAGGGCAGGGAATGGATGGGCAGCCATCCCTCTCAGAACAACGTGGAACTTCCGAGTTCCTAGCATTCCACCCAAGGGCAGGTGTCTCCAAGTGCGTGTGATCGAGAGAGCTGGAGCATCGGTGATGTAATGCCTGGGCCTCACGGACCAGACAGACGACCAAGCAAGGTCAGTGGGAACCCTGGGTGTGGGATCTCAGAGATGGTGACACTGACCTTGGTCTGCTGGCAGGGCACTCTAAAAGACTGGGACACAGAGCTGGAGCCCAGGCGTCTACCTGGAGATTCCAGATGTCCAATGCACTGATCTCTTTCCTTTCCCTGCCTCTCCCCTTGCTGGTTGCCACCACCCCCATACCCTGACCTCTCACTGTCTGCGCCTGCCCAGTCTCCTCCAGAGGCTCCTAACTAGCCGGGACTGGGAGACAGGCCGGCTTCCCAACCAGCTTCCCTTTCTGGCCTGACAGGAGGAACCAGTTGTGATTTCTGGGTCAGACGGGGAAGCAGGGGGCAGAGTTGGGCAGGAAGAGGAAGAGGGGTGAAGGTGGGACGTGGGGTGCGGGTGGGGACCTGAGACCGTTTCCTTCCTCCTGGTTAGACGTGTTCCTGCCTTTGGAAGTTGGTCTGTTCTAGTGAGAGGTGGGGGCAGAGGGATAGGAATGGGGCGGCTGGAGTAACCTTCAGTTCCTCCTAAAAATAGACAACATGGTGGAGTGGGAGGGACCAGGACCGGGGGAGCGTGTCTAATCTGACTGTTCAGAGTTAGGTCTCTGGGGCAATCACCCCAAGCTTATTTGCCCACCCACCCCCCATTTAGCCCATTAAATGGCCTCATTCTTTCTCCCCAAATCTTCCCCTGAAACCACCCCTCCCCATCACCATCCCTGCAACTCCTCCAGGGCACCCCGTCTTTCCCGTCCTGGTTCTTCTTTCCAGGGTGCTCAGTAGTACGTCTCCTTTTCCACCCAGCCTGTTGGAGAGATTTGGGGGTGGGGGTTGCCAGGTGAGCATAAAAAGAGGGCAGGGGCTGGGGTGGTGGAGGCCAGGTGGCTGGGAGCCTGGGGCAGGGGCTGAGGTAAGTGACTGTGGACAGGTGAAAAGGGAAGGGAGAAAACCCAGTGAGCTGGGGCCATAGATGCTTGTATTTCACCCAGTGGAGGGAGGGCATAGAGTGGCTGGAGGTCAAAATGCAAATGACTGCAGTGGCTCTTCAGGTAACAAATGAGTTTCTAGAGGGGCCGCCGCCTAGTGTTGCTGGGCAGAGGTGTGGGCAGAGGGTGGGCAGCTCGTGTAATTTTTTCAGGAGAAGTCAGAAATGTTGATTTTCTGTGAGAGCGCCCAAGTTTTAAATATTGGGCAATTAAAAAAGCACACACCTGCATGAGAGAGGGCAGGCCAGACCAAACATTATCCATGGGCTGTATTTGGCTTATAGGCCATCCTTCTCACCCTCCAGGAAGCGATCAAAATGCTTGTTGGGGAAAAACACACGTGGCTGAGGCCTGGGAGTCAGGAGGCCTTGGCTGTAGTGTCAGTTGTGCTGTATGACCCTGAACAAATAATTCGTCTCTGTCTCTGTAAAATGTGGAGGTGGGACAGATGGCCGCCAGGGCCCTTCTAGTTCTGATGTTCTGTGATTCCAGGTGGAAGGTGCAAGGCCTCAGGGACCAACTGAGGGGACCAGAGAAATCTGAGAGAAAGAGGGTGCGGAGAACAGACTCAACAGTCAGGGCTCCGGGACGGGGGACCCCAGCATCTGCGGGCTCTGAGGAAAGGACGGGGCCCTGTAGTTGGAACGGAGTTGGGGTGGGGGTGCCTGGAGGGGTCAGTGGGGGTTGCGTCTTCTGGGGGTTGGGTGAGGGGCGCAGGTGCTTACCTCCGGGGTATCGCCGCAGGATGAGCTTCCGGACCTCATCGTAGATGAAGATGAGGAGGCTGTAGGGGACGGCGCAGAACCACCAGGTGACCCTGCAAGCAGCAGAGGAGAGTGTTAGGAACATCAGAGGCCGGTTCCAGCAAGGAGGACTGGAACGGACCAGAACTTGGATCCTAGAAGGTGCCCTTTTAATTTTTACTTGTTTGTTTGTGAGAGAGGAAGGGGGAGAGGGAGAGAGAGAGACTTGTTGTTCCACTTATTTTATGCATTCAGTGGTTGACTCTTGTATGTGTCCTGACCTGGGATCGAACCTGCAACCTTGGCGTATAGGGCCAGCTGAGCACCCAGCCAGGATAGAAGCTGCCTTTTTTAAAATTTATTTATTTATTTATTTTTATTATTATTTTTTTAAAATATATTTTATTGATTTTTTACAGAGAGGAAGGGAGAGGGATAGAGAGTTAGAAACATCGATCAGCTGCCTCCTGCACACTCCCCACTGGGGATGTGCCCGCAACCAAGGTACATGCCCTTGACCAGAATCGAACCTGGGACCCTTGAGTCCGCAGGCCGATGCTCTATCCACTGAGCCAAACCAGTTAGGGCAGAAGCTGCCTTTTTAAAGAAATACTCACTTGAGGGGGTACATGCGGAGGGCCACACCCATGCCTGGGCAGTAGGATAGGAAGGCAGCCAGCGCTGTCTCTTCCAGGAGCCCAAAAATCAAAATCTTGTTCCTGGAAAAACAAGGAAAGGAGGGTTAAGTGGCATCTGAAGGGAGGGCAGGAGGGAGAGACCCAGGGACCCCTGGTGGTGGAGGGGAGAGAGGCAAGAGGAAATGTGGGGGAAAGGTCATCAGTGCATCTTCCCGTGCTCTCTGCGGGCACCTCATGCTGTGTGTAAGCCGAGAAGGAGTTTCTTTCATTGTTATGCTTAGTGACGTTACCCCTTGTTGCTGTCTAGAGCACATATATTCGTTCATTAGATAAATCACTTTTCTGTGTTGGGTGATGTCCTGGAGACGCAGCGTGCAACATGAGCTTCCTCCTGGAGACGTGGGACCTGCCCCAGGCAGCTTACAATCTTGTTCTCGCCCCAGGAGAGCGGTCTGTGAAAGTGCCCTCTCCCCAGCAAGATGCCAGGCAAGCTGCTTCCGTTCAGGGCCCCCATGTCTTCTGCCCCCTCGGGGTCTCCTGCAGCTCCTGGGAGCTGGGGTTGTAGATATTCAACAAAGAAGGGGACATTCTCAGAGGGGAGGCTCGTTGGAGAAGGTGCGTCAGGTAGGTTTGAGCTGAAAAGCAACGTGGGAAGAGGCTCTGAGGGCAGTTTCTGGAGCCAGTCAGGTGGGAGCCAGTCCCGAGCCGCCGCTCACTGGCTCTTGGTGGTAAGCGACGCTTCTTGCCTTCTCTGAGCCTCGTGCTGCCTTTTATCACAGGGCTGCTGGGAAAGTCATGGAAAGCTCTGGAACATGGAAGATGCTCAGTCCTATTATTACCCCGCCTCCCCTCTCCGTGTGCACGTCATCTCTTTACGGCTTAAGCCAGTGGGTCCCTCACTATGGACCCTTTATTTTTCTTCTAGAAAGGCCACATTTTTTAAATTGATTTTTGTCTCACAAGCTGCATTTGTTAATAATTATTATATTTTCCCATTTAAAACTCATTAGACATCCCAGCTTCCAAACAGAACCACGCTAATGCGACCACTATAGTCATACCTAGGCCTCTGCCCAAGCATGGGCCTTCTCACAGAGAAGGGCTGGACTTCCACGGAGCTTTGGAACAGTGGAAATCGGACCTCTGAGGGCCCAGGGGCCCGAGGGCGGAGGCTGCCTGTGGCCAGGGGGCCTGTTAGTATTAGCACTCCCCTGCGCCCAGCCTGGCTTCTGTTTCATTTCCATCTGCCCCTCCGTTGGGCTGGGTTAGCCAGTGGCCTTCACCTTCCCGCGTCCCCCATGCACTCACTGCTCGGTGAGTCCCAGCCCAGAGCTGCAGGTTCGTGGACTCCCTGCTCCTTGTCCTCTTCTCGCTGCACGTTCCCCATTCGTGTTGCGGGGCCCTGGGATCGCCTCCCTTCACCTGTATTCATCGCACAGACGTCTCACGTTTCTCTCCCCAGGATCTGCAATGCTCTCAGCTTCGCCAGGGCTTCGGCGTCATTATTTCCCTCTTACTGAGAAGTCGTGACAAAGCTCATTTGGGGAACTGCGCTCATTTCCAGGCGAAGCAAATAGAGGGAACAGGAGCGATGCCTTCAGCACTTTCCACCCTCCGTGCTTCAATCAGAGTCGTGATTGGTTCCTCACGGGAGCCAGGCTGGGGTAGGTGAGCCGCCCAGAGTAGGGGCCCAGAGCCTGCGGTTAAAGCTGACCTGCATTAGCCCTCACCAGCGGGGTGGCCTCAGGCACGTCATTTGCATTTTGGGCGTCTCATCCGAAATTGAAAATAACACTTCCCTCAGAGAACCATTGTGAGGTGAAACAATGTCTTTGAACCACTGACCTCAGTGACTGGCACATGGGAACTCACACCATCAGAAGACATTGAACCTGACCCCGAGCAGCTCGTAAACCCGGCAAGGACAACACCATTACCACAGGACAAGCGCTATGAACTAGAGCTACCGTGAGTGTAGGGGGGCACGGAGACCCTGTATTTAAAGCTGGGCAAAGGATGCTGTGGGTGTCACTAGAGTACAGGATGGAGGAAGGAAGGAAGGAAAGAAAGAAAAAGAAGGAAGGAAAGAAGGAAGGAAGGAAAGACGGTAGCAAGGGAGAAAGGAAAGATGAGAAAAGATGAAAAAATAAAAGGTGGAAGGAGCCCTTAGCAAAGTCCATTTTAGGAACAAAATAAAACTCCTCAGAAATAGTCATATCACTCCTTCTCGTCTCCTCTGCTTAAAACATGACTATGGATATGCAGCTGGGTGACTAAAGCCTTTGTCCCCCAAGCTGAGAGGGGTATCATGGAGGTCATCTGCATGGGCGGGGGGTGGGGGGCGGGGGTGGGGGAGCCGTGAGCGCCCCCTGGCGGGGTGCTGGGGGCGGCGCTCACTTCATGCCCTGCTGGAAGACGGAGTTGCGGCGGGTCTTGCAGATGATGAGGTCGGCCCACTGCACGACCACGATGCTGGCGAAGAAGGCCGTGTGGCAGGTGAACTCCACCACCTTCCGCTGCTCGTAGGTCTGGAGAGGGGCGGGCAGAGAGGCAGCAGCGTGAGAAGAACCAGCAGGACCGGCGTGCAGCGCCGTTCGGGGCCACTGTCAGACCCTGGGCACCCAGTCCCCTCTGAGCCCCCCGCCCCAGGTGGCCACACTGCCAGGCGCTTAGCCCCTCCTCTCGTACACACGTGTCCGCACGCACACAGCCCCGCTCACCCACTCCTGCCCATAGCTGTCCTCCAGGTCATTGGTGGACCGGTCATCCCAGTCGAGGCGGATCCCCAGCAGCCGTGTCGGCAGGAAACCGTTCTCAGCCAGGATCACGAAGTAGGTGAAGAAGCCGCCCAGTGCCTGGATCATCCCTGTGGGTCGTGGGCAAAACGCAGGGCCAGGGTCAGAGCAGGAAGCAGGAGGGGGCCAGCACCGACAGGCCAGAGATGTCTGTCCCCGACCCTGGGGCAAGCGGGACCCGTCCTGGACTCCAAAAGCGGGGGCAAGAGTTCCCTCTGAGCCCAGGGCCCCGCCGCACCGATCTGCCCGTAGGCCATGCTGATGAGCCTCTCGTTCACCAGCTTGTCCGTCTGCGGGTTCCGCGGCTGCCGCTTCATGATGTCACTCTCAGCGGCCTCGTAGGCCAAGGAGATGGCGGGGACCTGTGTGGGGTGGAGAGTGGGGGACAGAGGGCGTCGGAGGGGGCCTGGGGCTCGCCTTCTCTTCAGCCAGCACGGCCTGGTCAGCTGCCCTCGGTCCTTGTCTCTTTCCACCTGCTGCCCACTGTGGTGCCCACGTGGTTGCCTGGCCTGTCCCCCCCTCCAGCCCTTGGCCTCACCATGTCAGTGCCCAGGTCGATGCAGAGGATGGTGACGGTGCCCAGCGGCAGGGGGATGTTGACGATGATGAAGAACAGGAAGGGCGTGATCTCGGGGATGTTGCTGGTCAGGGTGTACGCGATGGATTTCTTCAGGTTGTCAAAGATCAGGCGGCCTGGGGAGATTCCGGGAGCTCCAGGGAGCTGGGAGGGACCCTCCCCACCCCTCGCCCTGGGGCGTGGCTGCCTGACTTTCTGGGAGAGGAAGACTGTGTGTGAGGGAAGCTAATGGCGCGGCAGACGCCTGGGAGCCTGAGCTGGCTCTGTGGTTGGGTAAAAGGCATGGGAGTAGGTGTGCAGGCGTCCCTTGTCCTCACCCTCCTCCACCCCCCCCCCCCCCCCCCCCGCCCAGGGAGCTGTTTTCCTCTCTCTCTCTCTCTCTCTCTCTCTCTCTCTCTCTCTCAGAGGAAGTGATGCTAGAATGCTAGATCCATGCATGTAATCATAGTCCAATTTCCTGGGCTTGCACTCATTCCCTCATACATATGTCATTGCTATAGCCCTCTGCAGTGTAGACAGCATCTTAATTTTGTAGTCGAGAAAATGGAGGCTCCGGAAGGTAAGGGGACATGTCCAAGGTCACACAGATAAACAGTGACACAGCTCGGACACACTCAGGACTGAGGAACCAGAGGAAAGGCCAGTACAGGTCCCAGAGGTGCTATCCCAATTCCCTGGTCTGACTCGGGCGCCCTGTGGGAGAGAATGGGTTGACTGGGGGCAGGGCGTCCTGCAAAGGCCTCACCTGGGGTTGACTTGACTGACGGGGATGTTGAGCCGGGCCGCGATGTCCTCCACAGTTTCATTGCCCTCTGATATAATGCCCACGCCCTTGGCAATGGCCTTGGCTGTGATTGGGTGGTCCCCGGTCACCATGATCACCTGGCGGGGAGGAGAAAGGAGGAAAGAGAACGAAGAACGGGACAGCAGCATTAAGCCTGCGCCCCTCACCTTGCCAGCCTATTCCTCTCCCAAAGTCAGGAAAAGGCAGATGGTGGGCTCACAGATCCCAGCTAAAACAATGGGAATACACGTGTGTGAGTGTGTGAGTGTGTGAGTGTGTGAGTGTGTGTGTGTGTGTGTGTGTGTGTGTTCAGACGGTAGGTCGGGGGAGAGACAATGACAAGTTGTGTTCTGGGGATCAGAGCTCATTTGCTTAAATGGAGGAAAGCTGCCATGACAGAATGACATGCTAATGAGGGTCCCTTGGAAGAGAAATCTCCAAGGTTGGTCAGGAGTTTGGAGTTCACGGGCTCTGAGACTGTCAGCGCTAGCAGGACCCTTCACAGCTTCCTCCTGTTACCTATGAGGCAGCAACGGCTGAGAAAGGGCCAGGATTGGCTCCAGGGCCCAGGGAGCCAGAACTAGGACGTGGCTTTCTTAGGGTCCAATATGATTGCTGCAGGGCATCTAACTGGTCAGATCGGAGTAAGGATGACAGGGAGAGAGCCCTCCCTCCCCACTCCCCCTGGTGTTCATTGTGTTTCAGAATGGATGGAGCTGGGTGGGGAGGGGTGGCATTTGAGAGGCTGGCTAAGAGGCTATTCTAAGCATAAGGTATTCAGAGCTGGACTAGGATATAGCATTTGCATGTGTGGGTTTATGGGGCGAATCACATAGATACTAAGAAGGAGGCCTCTCCAAGCCCCACTGCCTTCTCTTCCATCCCTAACACCCCACTGAAACTGCCCCCCCAAGGCTACATGTGCCTCCCAGTTGAAAACCAATAGCAGGCCATCAAACCTCAGAGGGAAGGACGGGGAGGGTGAGAGGGAGGGGGTAAGAAGTCAACCAACGATGTGTGCATGTATGTAAGCATGACCAATGGACACAGACAGTAGGGGGGCGAGGGCATGTGCTGGGCAGTGGGAGTGGCTGGGGAGAGGTCAATGGGGGAAAAAGGAGACATGCAGTACTTTCAACAATAAAGAATTTAAATTAAAAGAAAAGAAAGCCCTAGCTGGTTTGACTCAGTGGATAGAGCATCAGCCTGCAGACTGAAGGGTCCCACGTTCAAGTCCAGTCAAGGGCACATGCTCTGGTTGCAGGCTCGATCCCCAGTAGGGGTGTGCAGATGGCAGCCGATCAATGATTCTCCCACCGCACTGCTAGCTGCCTCCACGCCTGCCCGTGACATTGGAGGCAAAGTTTGGTTTGGCTCAATGGATAGAGTGTCGCCCTGTGGACTGAAAGGTCCAGGGTTTGATTCCGGTCATGTCCTCATCCTTCTTGACTCCTCTCAGGCATTTGGCACTGCTCACCACCCTCCTTAAAAAGATGTCCTCCCATGGCCTCCATGGACCTTTTGTTCCTGGTTCCTCTCCACCCTCTGGTTCCTTTCCCTCCCTCCTCAGGGAGGCAGCCAAGACAGTAGAAGTGGCCTAGGAGTCACAAGGCTACCTGAGTGGAAGTGCTGGCTTGCCCCGGCTCTGGGACCTTAGACAAGTGCCTCACTGAGTCTCAGCACGTGGAGACGATGAGTTCTACCTTTCACGTAGGTCATGAAGAGTATGTGACATGGGTGGATGCCCAACAACTGTTAGCTGTGTCTGATCGCCCTCTCCCCTTGGTCACTGGTTCCTATTCCTGCACGCGCCCCTAAATGTTGGTGTGGTCCGGGGCTTCATTCTCCTCCTCTTTCTTGACCCCATGCTCTTTTCCTGGGCAGTGTTAAGCAGTACAATTTGTAATTATCCAGAGTTTAACTGGATCAAATCTCCAGTCCTGGCCCTCTTTCTTGAGCTCTAAACCACATTTCAACTTTCTCTGGAACATCTCTCCCTGGGTGTCTTATAGATTCTTTGAATGTAAGGTCAAATCGAACTCATTATCTCTACTGCCACCACCACCAAGCCTGCTGCTCACCTCCCTGCCTTAGAAACTATCCCTCTTTCATGCAGGCCCTTTGTCTCCGATATCCTCCTCACCTCCCATATCCAGTTTAGTCACCAAGTTCTCACAAGGTTCCTCGAGTGTAACGACTCCCTTTTGTCTCTGCCCTTGTTCAGGTCACCGTCCCTTGCCTGAACTATTGCAATCGCTTCTTGCCTGTCTCCCTGACTTCAGTTCTTCTCCAAATTGAGGCCTTCCTCCATCTAGAAGCTAGATGGGTCCGGTGACACCCGTGGCTCTCTGTGGACCCCAGGATAAAGCCCAAGTCTGGCATTTAAGCAAAGTCCTTCCACCTGGCCCTGGTCCGTCTCAGTCTCAATTCCCAGTGCTCCTCTGCCACCTCTCCCTGCAACCCACACAAATGCCCGGTACAGTCTAACCACAGAGTACATGCTGTTCCCTGCTCTTGACCTGCCTTCCTCTCCCTCGCAGCCTTACAAAATACTTGTCAACCTTCAAGGCCCAGATCAAATATCATGCCCTCTATAAAACATTGTCCAATTCCCTGAGGCAGAATTAACTGCTCCCTGCTGTGGCTTCCCATGGAGGGACCTTCCCCAGGCCTCTGTGATAATTCTGATCATGGCAAGAGGCAGGCTAAGGAGCAGGCCATGCTGATATAGCCAACCCACTTCTTCCTCGCAGATTTATTTAGGGACAGCTACGTACCCGCTCTAAGTCTCAGCTTGTTTTATTTTTAAATGGGGATAGTGAAGCCTACCTCAGGGACAGAGTGGTAGGGGGTTCAGAAATCATACATAGACACATATATACAGACAAGTCCTCTGGTGTGATGGTTGAGAACTAGCAGACTGCCTAGGTTCAAATCCCGGCCCTACCACTTGTGAACTGTGTCTTCTTGGGCATGCTACTTTGTGCCTTGGTCCCTCTGTGTAAAAAAGGGAAAATACTAGTGTCTACTTACAGGGTTGTTATGAAGATGAAATGAGATGTTACAGGTTTAGTGCTAACAGCAGTGCCTGATTCATATAAAGTCTTACAAAACAATTGGCTGTTTTTGTTATGAGTATCTGACCTATAATAAGTGCTCAACTCCCCTAGCTATTATGATTGTTCTGTGATTAATCAATTGTAAAGGCATTCGTTTCCCCTGAGAGACCATGAACTCTGGCGGTCAGGCTATATCTTATTCATCTTTGAGTCTCCAGTGCCTAGTGCCGTACCTGACCCTCAGGAGACAGGCAGAGTTGAACTTACGTGGTACTAGGTGAGATGCTGAGAAAAAGAGGAGGAAGCAGTGGCACCCTACCTGGTGAGTCACTAGGTTAAGGGGGGTGTTAAAGTGCTGTATCTATCTTTTTGTTTGTTTGTTTGTTTTGTTAATCCTCACCAGAGGATATTTTCTCCTTTGCTTTTCAGAGAGTAGAAAGGAAGGAGGGAGGTAAGCAGAGAGGAGAGAGAGAGAGAGAGAAACGTTGATATGGGAGAGACACATTGACTGGTTGCCTCCCACATGAGCTCTGACGGAGGGCAGGGAGTGAACCTGCAGGCCAGTTACGTGCCCTTGACCGGGAATCAAACTTGTAGACCCTTCATTACGTGGGCCGACACTCCAACCACTGAACACACCAGCTGGGGCTAAAGTGCTGTATCTTTGTGTGTGTGTTGTTTTTTTTAAGTGATATATCTTTGAAACAGGAAAGTAAGCTCCAAGATGGAAGGGCTTTATGTTGATTTGTTTGTTGATCTCCGCACCTTGAACAGTGCCTGGTACATAGTTGGAAAATGACAAATACAGTGGGGCCTTGACTTACGAGTTTAATTCGTTCCGAAACCGAGCTCATTAAGGAGCTCGTTAACTCAAATTACTCTGTCAACTCAATGCAAAAAATCGGCCGAGAGAAAGCTGGTATCTCAAAAAACTCGTTAGTCGGGACAGTCATAAGTCAAGGCCCCACTGTATTTGTTAAATGAAGAACAACTGCAGCACCAAGGAGGGAGTGGCCACTGAGAAGCAATGACAGCTGGACAAGGAAACATGGGAGAGGGGTGCTAAGGGGAATGAGTGCTGGGGCCAGTCTGCAGGGTTCTGTGGGGGGGGGGGGGAGTGAGTGGATGCAGACTGGAGCCTGCTAACCCCGTCCCAAATGGCTAGGGGCAGTGGGCAGTGGTTGGGAGGGGCAGGACACCATATCCCCAAGATAGGGGTGCCATATCAGCTTGCCATCAGAACAGAATGAGCCATGCCGGGGAGGGAGAGGTTCGATGTGGGAGGCTGGGCACTCTGAGCACAAGGGACAAGAAGGGTGAGCTCTCCACGGCAGTGGCCAGCCTTTCCTTGCAGATGACGGCTGCCCCTCCCAGTCAGCGAGAAAACGATCACCAGGGGCTTGGGTGCCCCCAGGCCAACGGCCCCTGAATTCTCTTGACCTTCCGAGGGTGGAAGGGGAGGCTGAAGGGGAAGAAGTGAGGCCAATACCTTGATGCCTGCGCTCCGACACTTGCCCACAGCGTCAGGCACAGCCGCCCGCGGAGGGTCGATCATGGACATGAGCCCCACGAAGCAGAGCTTCTCGGTGGGGAAGTTCAGTTCCTCTGTGTCGAATTTGAAGCCACGAGGAAACTTTCCAGAGGGCAGATTCAGTTGACAGAACCCTGAAGGAGGAGGGGGGAGGCAGAAGGGAGGATTGAGAGCAGCAAGGTGGCTGCCTGGACACCCCTAACGCTCTTCATCCTAGGGAAGCCACTGAGGCTTGGGAATCCCTCTCTCAGCCCTGCTCCCTGCTTCTGGGCCCTCACCCAGCACTCGCTCCCCCAGTCCTCCCAGCTCCATGTAGGCGTTCTGAAAGGCATCTTGCATCTCCTTGTCCAGCGGGATCTCCTTGCCCTGCACCAGGATGGAGGAGCACCGGTCCAGGATGCGCTCGGGGGCCCCCTTCATCACCAGCACGTGGCTCTGGGGGCTGTCTTCTCGCTCGTGGATGGACAGCTGGAGAGAGGATGGGCAGTGACAGAGGGGGCCATAACTGTCTTGTTAGCCCCAACGCCCAGCACGGGGCCTGGGACAGAGCAGAGGCTGGTAAGAAACCCCCCCTTAATAAAATTACCTCTGACTCATCAATCCTTGTTGGCATAGGGACAGTTTCTGTGTGTGGAGCGATGTTTGAAACAAAAGTCCCAACCCTGTAACCTGAGAGTCACTTTCCTAGGATATTCATTGACTCAGCAAATGTTTATTCAGATCAGTTAAGACAGGCCTTGTGCATGGGCTAGATGGCTTTGTTGTCAGCATTCCCCACCACTAACCTGGCCTCAGTGGGACTTTACCTCTATGGCCTACACAGGACGTAGCTGAGACTGTGTTATTGGCATTTCCCAAATGCTTGCAGGTGGAGGGATATGCTAAGGAAATTTCAGAAGTATGTTTCAAATGAGTGTGATGAAAGGGTTGAGAGACCGGGGCCAGAGGTTGGAGAGCTCTTGGAGGAAGAGTCAAGAGGGTTGGAGGGATGAAGGAATGAAGGTTGGGAGCTAAGGGGTAATGGCAACCAGACATGTAGTCACCCAAGTTGCCCTGGGGAATAAGACAGGGGTGAGAGGACATGATGCCCAGATGCCTCCACTTCTCATGTTGATGACTCCCCCTGGGCTTTGTGCACCCCCTCATTTCTGTCCCTCCCATTCCCTGTCCCAGTTCCCTGACCAGACCTGGTACTTGTTGGTGGAGTTGAAAGGAATCTCTGCCACCTTGGGGTTCCTGTCCCTCATCTTCCTCACAGAGCCGCAGGACAGCTCAATGCACTTGAGCAGAGCTGACTCAGAGGCGTCGCCAGCTGTGTCGCGCTGCCAGGAGAATTCAGTGTTACAGCGGGGCCGGAGAAGGACGGAGGACCAAGAGGAGAGGCCATGAAACCTTGGAGGCCACCGCAGGGTATGAGGGGAAGCTGGGCATCAGCAAAGGGCACAGGCCATGGAGACGGCCCTGACCCCCTACCTTAGACACAGAGATGTTCTCCTGCCCACCCTTGAAGACGGCTCGGTTGCAGAGGCCAGCAATCCGAGACAGGGCCGTCCATGTCGCGGATCGCTTGTCAAATGTGGCCCCTGGGAGAAAATGAGGGAGAACCAGGAGCTTGGTTCCCCTTTAGAGCTCTGCTCTCTCTCCACCCACTCTACCACCCCGTGTCCTGGACACCCGCCAGACCCCTTCACCCCTCTGGGCTGCCCAATCACCAGACTGGTCTTCAGTGGTGTCAGCCTCATGGATCTGGTTGTCAAACCACATGTGGGCGACGGTCATACGGTTCTGGGTGAGGGTGCCCGTCTTGTCAGAGCAGATGGTGGAGGTGGAGCCCAGCGTCTCCACCGCCTCCAGGTTCTTCACCAGGCAGTTCTTCCTCGCCATGCGCTTGGCTGTCAGGGTCAGACACACCTGGCAGAAAGAGAGGAGGATACAAAAGGGCTGAGCCTGAGCCGGAGATGTCTAGGACCTTCCCCCAGAGCATGGGCTCTATCCCTCCTCCCTCGCTCCTACTCCACAAACGCGAGTGGGACCTAGGTGTGAGCAGTTGAATGGAGATCATGGGTGTATATTTAGGTGAAATGTCCAGTACGGAGTTGAAGACATTTGTCTAGAGCTCCAGAGAGGGCCAGAGTAGAGCTGGGCGAAGGGAGGTGAGAGTCGCCCACACAGAATGGGCAGTGAAAACTGGGCTCACTTAAGCGTGTTGAGGAGAAGAGCAGAGAGCTGAGGCCTGAGACTCAGTTTTGGGGAGAAAGAGAGGACCCTGCTGGGGACAGAGGAGAGGAGAACCAGGATAGTGACATGTCACAGTCATCGGTGAAGGAGAGGGTTCCCGGCAGGTGGACAGAAGGGTTCCTTTCAGCAGCAGAGTTGAGCATAGGAGCCGAGAAAAGGTCTCTGGGTTTGCTCGGTGGTCACTGGTGACCTTCGAAAGAGCATTTGCAGAAGAGTGTTGGCCAGGACGAGCTCTGGGTGACAGGAGTAGCACATGGGTGGTGAGAAGAGGCGACTGTGACAAGCTGTGCCAAAGTATAGCCCAACCGGAGATTTTTCAGACTCAACCTCTGAGCCGTGGACTAAATGACCTTTTTCAGACTCACACTCTAAGCCTTGTATTAAATGAGAATCTGATATGTGATTTTAAGGGCTGGCAGTGAAAACATTGCTGAGGAGCAAGGAGCCTCTATCACTGTTGAGGAAAGGGTAACAAGACCCACCCCTGCTGGCACCTCCGCCTGACCACTCACCGTGACGGTGGCCAGCAGCCCCTCGGGCACGTTGGCCACGATGATGCCGATGAGGAAGATGACTGCCTCCAGCCAGCTGTAGCCCAGGATGAGGGACAGCACGAAGAAGGAGATGCCCAGAAACACAGCCACCCCCGTGATCAGCTGGATGAAGTGTTCAATCTCCATGGCTATCGGGGTCCGCCCCACCTCCAGGCCCGAGGCCAGAGTGGCTATGCGGCCCATCACCGTCCGGTCACCTGTGGCGATCACGATGCCCCTGGCAGTGCCTGCAACACAGGAAGAGACTCCAGGCTCGGTGCCTTGGGTCCCAGGATCTGTGTCCTGTCCCACTTCCTGAGGAAGGAAATCCATCCCAGAGTAAATGCACCGGAGACCCTGCTCCCGGAGTTTCAGTAGATTGTACCTCCCGGGCTCTCTCTTCTTGCCCACATCGCCAACCCCCAGCTCAGTGCAACAGCAAGTTATTTTCTCTTACACTTGGGCCTGTGGAAAAAGCTTGCAAATAAACTCAAAGTTCAAACTGAGGAGATTCAATAAGTGAAACAAAAATATTGCCTGCAGTACTTCAGTAAAATCAATCTCCTACATATTACCCACAAACTATGTGTTCACATATTATAAACACAAAGTCAGGCACTTATTATGGACAAGAAGCCCGATGCACAAAATTCGTGCAAGGGGCTCAGCCCTCGCAGCCCAGGCTTTGTCTTTGTCCGGAAGGACATCGGTCTAATTAGCATATTACGCTTTTATTATCATAGGTTTTCCATGTAGTCTTAAGATTTTCTTTCTCAACATTAGGCATGAATCCCATAAAAGAAGCTAGGCAATTACTGACCCTCAAGTAGACGTTAAAGGGGCCTACAGGGGAGGAGGGCTGGGGCAGTGGGAGGAGCATGCATGTTGGAGTCAGCCAAACCTGAGCTAGAATCCTTATTCGAGTTCCTACCTAGGGGTTATTTTTTTTTTTTTTTTTTTTTTTTTTTTTTTTAAATACATTTTATTGATTTTTCACAGAGAGGAAGGGAGAGGGATAGAGAGTTGGAAACATCGATGAGAGAGAAACATCGATCAGCTGCCTCCTGCACACCCCACACTGGGGATGTGCCCACAACCAAGGTACATGCCCTTAGCCGGAATCGAACCTGGGACCTTTCAGTCCGCAGGCCGACGCTCCATCCACTGAGCCAAACCGGTTAGGGCCCTAGGGGTTATTTTAACAATTAAATCAGATTGTGCTGTAATACCTAGACCAGTGCCTAGCACATAGTAGGCACTTATCAAATGTTAGTTCCATTCATTTCCTATGCTTTCTTCAAAGCCAATTTTAGAGTAAGCAATAGGAATATTTTACTAGGCATTTTTAACATTTGTGAAAAATGTAGAGCAAACTTCAGAATCTCAGTACATTAAAAAGTTAGGAAACTTAACGTGTGGTGATTTTCATTATAATTCCAACTTGCTGAAAGAGGGGAGAAGCCCAGAAACACATATCCACTGAAGAGAAATGACAGATATAAAGAGAAAGGTGTGGGGGTGGGGAAGGTCTTCTTGGGCTCACTTTCTGAGGCCCCTGGCATAGTCGGGCCTCTTGCTCCCACCAGCTCTTGCCCTCTCCGCCCTCTCCGAGTCAGCCCTGACTCGGTTCACTGGCCTTTGGTCATCTCTAGAACCCAGAACAGGGCTGGGGCAACCTGGGCAGCCTGAGCATGACAATTTCTCTTGGCGAAGCACAGGCCTAGCTACAGCCCGAAGGAGGGCCCAAGTATCCACTGGGCCTGTAAGCTTTCCTGCCCCTCCCCCAGCCCGGGGCTCTGGGCAAAGCAAGGGCCAGAGATGGAGGCAACAAGTCCCAAACGCAGGAGAAACAGAAGCCTTCAGTCAAGCCAAAGACACCCAAGAGTCCAGGCTGGCTTGGGACGGGTGTGCATGTGAGTGGGTGATGTGTGTCATATGTGTGCATGTGTGCATGATGTGTGAGTGTCAGAGTGTGTAAATGTGAGTGTGTGTGATAGGGGTGGGGGAACTTGGCCAAGACCTAAAGGCTTTGGAATCCACTCAGTGTTACGGTGGACAGAACAGAGATCTTTCTGTGGGAGGTAACTTTTCCATGGAGTTGTGCCATCCCAGCCAATACCCTGCTCTCCGGAGGAGATTATTTCTGTAATATTCAGGGATCCCCAGCCCCAAGTCCTCAGTTCCCTCCTCTATAGCAGGGTTTTTGATGAGTAAGTACAGCCACAGCCCCCAATCCTGCTGGGGGTTCAGGATTCAGACGCCTCCCTCCGTGGGTGCTGGGACGAGGGGCCCCCACCAGGCTGGCCTCTCACCTTCCACACAGTTGGTAGAGAAGAAACAGATATTGCGGGTCTCCAGGGGGTTCTCATGGGTAAACTCAGGGGAGCGGGTCTGGGGCTCTGACTCCCCGGTTAGGGATGAGTTGTCCACCTGGGGAGGAAGCAGGGAGGGTGTAGTCATCAGCCTGGCAGGCGCACTTGTGCACACACAGCTGTCTTCCAGCTCCAACTGCGCTCAATCTCCATGACACGAGGGACAAAATTACACTTGTCCTCATCACATATTTATAGCATTGCTCGGCTATTGTCCCTGCGCTGGTTTGGAATCCTAGCTCTTGCAAAATTTTAATGTGACCTTGGGCTAGTTGCTTAACCCTCCACTCATCTGTAAAATGGGGAATGTCATCAGAATCTATGCACTGCACAACTCCAGGGGGGTGCCATCAACACTGTAGTCTATGAAAATGGCACAGCCTCGTGTGGCCACATGCAACAGCCCTGCATGATTAGACCGTCCTCACAGAGCTGAATTACATGGCATCTGCGAATGTACATAAAACATCATCTGACAATAGCCCTAACCGGTTTGGCTCAGTGGTTAGAGCATCGGACTGAGGACTCAAGGGTCCCAGGTTCCATTCCGGTCAAGGGCATGTACCTTGGTTGCGGGCACATCCCCAGTAGAGAGTGTGCAGGAGGCAGCTGATCGATGTTTCTCTCTCATCGATGTTTCTAACTCTCTATCTCTCTCCCTTCCTCTCTGTAAAAAATTAATAAAATATATTAAAAAAAACACATCTGACAATAACTGGGACTCAATACAAGGTGGCTGTAAAGTGGATTTGAAAAACACACCTAGGGCACAGAGCAGTCATCACACACAGATACAAGGAGACAGCGCCTCAGCGCTATCAGGTGCAGCTGGGGGGTACAGGGTAGGTGTTGGCATTTGGACCTGGCGCTTCCAGTCTTCAAACCTCTAACTAGGCCCCTCTCAGCTCTATCCGGCCTTCTTCCTAGACCCCGCCGGTTGCTCTGGCGTGGCCTCCTCACCTTACAGCCATGAGAAGAGATGATCCGGAGGTCAGCGGGCACGCGGTCTCCACCCTTCACCTCCACCAGGTCTCCCACCACCACTTCCTCCGCGTTGATCTGCATCTTCTCACCCTCCCGCACGACGAGGGCTTGCTGTAAGGAGGCCGTGGGCATCTCATGAAGTCTCTACCCCTACTTTTCTCTCCTGCTGCTTTTCCACCTCCCCTTCAACCCCACTGAGGAGGAGAAGCCCTTAGCAACAAAACTAGGTCCTGGTGTAGAGACCTAGAGGGACTTTTTGTCCAAGCCTCCATCTCAGAACGCAAAGTTGAGAAGGGAGGAGCTGGACCCGCCCAGAAACTGTATGCCCCAGCCCAGAGCCCCGCCTGGCCATCTACCTGCGGAACCATGTTCTTGAAGGAGTCCATGATCTTGGAGCTCTTGGCCTCTTGGTAGTAGGAGAAGCAGCCCGTGACGATGACCACGGCTGCCAGCACCACGCCCAGATAGAGCTGGCAGGGAGACAGCGTTTGAGAGACGTGCCCGTCTCGCAACCCTCAAGCGGCAACTGCCACGTGGGACAAGCTACCCTTGTCTGTGACCGGAAGTGAAAATGGTCCAGGAAAGTCCTTCTCTCTTTCTTCCAGTCCCCAACCTCCTAAGGCTGGAAGGCGTGGTGAGAGTCTTAGGGAGTTCCCAGGACTACAGTGGGGCCTTGACTTACGAGTGTCCCGACTAACGAGTTTTTTGAGATACGAGCCGTCTCTCGGCCGATTTTTTGCTTTGAGTTGCGAGCTAAAATTCGGGTTACGAGCCAGCTTCAGATACCCCACCGCTAGTTGGTGCAGCGAACGTCACAGTGACAGCCACAACATCAGCCCAGCATCACGTGTCTCACTCGTTCACTTTTTGATTTGACATACGAGTAATTTGAGTTACGAGCTCCATCACGGTACGAATTAAACTCGTAAGTCAAGGCCCCACTGTAGGTCTTCTCTAGGGTGTGAAGACTGAGGGATGGCAGACAAACCCACTTAAGTGTAAAGGAACAGAGAGGGGCGTTCTCATCCTTGAGTGATTGCGTGCCTGTGCGTGTTGGGGTGCGGATAGGTATGTATAGGAGCCTCACCCATTTTCAGCCTAAAGGGCCCTGTGACGTGAGGGTCTTGTTCCCTGCCCCCCAGCCAGACTGGGGATTCGGGGTTGGAGGGCAGAGTCATGGGCTGGTCCGGGGGGCAGGCATTCCAGCTCACATTGTCGTTGGATGGTTCATCTTCCATGGCAGCCTGGATGCCGTAGGCCAGGAAGCAGAGGATGGCCCCAATCCACAGAAGGATGGAGAAGCCCCCGAAAAGCTGGCGACAGAACTTGACCCACTCGGGGGTTGTTGGGGGCGGGGTGAGGGCGTTGGGCCCGTCCCGAGCCAGAATGTCCTGGGCCCGCTGGTTGGTGAGGCCCTGAGGGAGGCAAGGAGGAGTGTGGGAGTTTGCATCCGGAAGCAGTCTGGCCCCTCACCACGTCCCGCCAGCTCGTTGGCCGGGAGTAAGGCCCTGGTGGAGGGGAAATCCCACCTGCTTGGAAGGGCTGAGGGGCCATAGGAGAGGCCACGTGAAGGAGGTGGGGTTTGCAATGGGTGTTAGAGGCCTTGACGGCTGAGGAGGATTTTAATGTGGCCCCTTCTCTGGTCATCACTGGACTGATTCACATTTGGGGCCACAATCATCTCCTCTGGAGGCAGCCTGGCTGAGGCTCACTGGAAAGTCATCTCAATTGGTTCCTCCCCTCCCCACCCCCGTCTCTCTTCCTTCACATTCCCCACATCACCAAGGAACATTTGTGCTTCTTGCACCAAGGATTTAAGAAGAGTCCTACATTATTGACCATCAGCGTCACCCGGCTTCAGCAATCGCCCATCGCTTTCCCCAGAAAGCCTGGCCCGGCCCTGCTCCCGGGCCCAGGCTGCCTCAGACGCCCCTCTCTGCATCCATTACATCCTAGACACGATTCCGAGCTGCACCGTCACACGGCACTGGAGGTCTAGGCACTCCTCTTTGCTACCAGACTTTGAGATCCTTGAAGGCAGAGGACACTTTTTATTTATCTTTCTATCTGTCCACTCATTGATTTAATAAATGTGTTTTGAATGCAAAGCTCTATTATCAGCTCTGCCCAGAAATGGACAAGACCCACAGAGTCCGTGCTTTGCGGAGCTTATGATCTAGGGAGGTGACACACAACAAATGATATTAGTGCCGGACAGTGGAAGTGTTACTCAGGGAAATAAGGTTAAAGCAATGGGGGCATAGAATTTTCAAAAGGGCAATCCCGGAGGGCCTACAGGAGGAGGTCACATGACCATATTTTTTATTAATAATGTTTTTCTTTTTCAAAGTGATGGGCTTGGCAATCTGTGCTGCTTACTATGGACGTGACCTTGGGAAGCTGCGCTCCTCCTCTGAGTCTCCTCGCTCTGAGAAAGAGGTCCCCAGCACCTTTCCCTCAAGGTTGCAAGGATTAGAAAAATGTATGTAACACGTACATACATAGCGGGGCCCCAACATGCCACTGTCAGAATAGTAATAGGTCACTCCCCGATTTCATGTATGTCAGTACCATGAGACGGTGCAACACTGAAGCTGCTTGAGGGAGAGAGAGCCCTGCCTGGAAGCCCTCGGCGCCTGGGTCCCCAAGATCCTGGCTTTCGGGTGGGTACACAGGAAAAGGGCTCAAGACTAGGAAAGCAGGGCATCTGGGTTCTTGTTCTGATTCTGCCACCCATTAGTCACCGGGCCTCGGTTTCCCCATCTGTAAAAAGGGTTGGATTACAGGTGGACGGCCCCTCGATCCTGGTGCCGCTGCGTGGTTCTCTCACCTCTTTGGTGCCCTCCGAGCCCCTCCACTCACCTTGGACAGGTCCACTTGGTATTTGCGGCCCAGCTCATCCAAGGACAGCTTGTGGTCGTCCTGGGGAAGGGAGACGGAATTACCGTGAGGAGGGAGGCTGCGTGTGTGTGTTTAGAATGTACGTGAGGTCAATGAGAGGCCAGAGGCGAGGCAAGGAGCATGGGGTGGGGGTGGGGAGGAGGGAGGGTGGGGTGGGGGGCAGAGGGCCTCACCATGGCCACCTCCTTTTTCAGCTCATCCAGCTCCCTCTCTTTCTGCTTCTTCTTGCCGCCTCCATTCTCCGCAGTGGTGGCGGCAGGCGAGGACTCGCGTCCGGCCTGCAGGAGGAAGGGAGAGCCCCGAGCGTCAGGGAGGGCAGAGGCTGGGCCTCTATTCCCACTTGACGGCTGGGAGCCCAGGCCTTGGGAGTGGGGGCAGTGGGGGCAGTGGGGGCAGTGGGCTCAAAGCAGTGATGCTCCAGTGGCGGAAAAGGGGGTGAGGGTGGAGGGAACCCCAGGCCCTTGGTTGGCAAACTATTGACAGAGACACGGGGCTCTATGTCTGAATTTCAGGGAAGACTGAGGGGCTCAGGACTCAGGACCCACGCTTAGCTGTTTGGTAGCTGGACTTCGGAGGAAAAGTCTAAAACTAAACTTCCCGTGGCTCTCAGGCCCAGGCATTCTTGGGTTCTCTTGTGAAATCGGAAAAACGTTTTAGCAGGAGCCCCATGAGGCCGCTGCATCCCCTTTCCTCTTCAGCACCTGAGGTCTCCTGGGAATCCTCGGGGGAGAGGGTGGGGAACGTCCCCTCTGGGGGGCGGGGGGGACGCTGTGGTGGCTCCCGCCTCCATGCGAGGTGTTCCCGACGAGCTCTTCTATGCTGCGGTGCAGTTTGTTTTCCCGTAAGGAAGGGGTGCCTGGGTGGGACTCATGGCTGAGGTGTCTGCCTTTTGGGGAAGTACGATGCACTCCTACAGTCACCTTTTCTTCTAGAGAAGTTTCAGGTTCACAGCAAAATTGAGCAGAAAGTACAGAGCGTTTCCCATATACCCCTGTCCCCACAAGCGTGGTCTCCCCCACCCGAGTCCCCACCAGAGCGGCTCCCTCTCACTGGTGTGTACATTCTACAAGTGTCCAATGGTCTGGACAAATGCAGTGACGTGTGTCCACCTCATGGCACCAAGCGGAGTAGTTTCGCTGCCTCAGAGACCTTCGGTGGCCAGGATGAAGCCTGTGGCCCATCAGGCAGGACTATGCCGGGAATGCGGCAGCTGCCCTGACCGTAGACTGGGAATCCGGGCCCTGGAGAGGGAGGAGTCTGACCAGTGGCATCAGGGTGAGAGGAGGTGGGCAGCGAGAGTGGACAGCCTCGACCAATAGGCGATAAAGTTTGCATTATCTCCATGAGAAATGTCAATGAGACTGAAGCAGCCCTGGGCAGGGGGAGAGGGGGGAGTGGGACAGAGCAGGGGGCGGGGGGGCAGCCAGGAGGTCTGTCTTCCTCCCCCAGTGACTTAGGAGAGTCCGTCGGATGAACTGAAATGCTTTGGATTCACAAACTCTATCCTTGGTGGGAAGGGCTGAGAAGTGGATGAAAGGGAATGGCCGGTGGGCCTGGGAGCTTTAGTGAGGCCCCTGGAGCTCCAGGGGCAGGAAGGAGTGGGGGCGCACAGAGCAGGGGTGCCCCTGGGGCAGAGGAGCAGAGCCTGAGGGTTTCTGTACATTCAGATGTAAAATAAAGTCCAAGAAGCTTGGAATCAAATGGAGGGTTTTTAAATAATTGCCAGCCCACGAGCAGGCGTTGGGCATGTCGGGTGGTGGCTGGGCGGCCCACGCAGCACCCCTTCCCTCAGCGCTCCCCCTGTCCTCCTGGCTCAGAGCTTGGGACACCCGGCCCTTGCCCCTCCCCCTGCCCTGGCAAGGATCTCAGCCTCTGTTGCCAGGAGCCTGTGGAGATTTGGGGCCAGCGGGCTGCCTAGGCAAGAAAGAGAGAGAGGAAGCAAGGACCCCCCCCCCCCACCTCCCCAGCCTGTTCTTCCCTCCCCCACCCACAAGTCCCAGTCTGGGGCTTGAATGCTCGCGGAGAACAGAGAGTTCTTTCTGAGAAAGCCAGAGGCTGGGACCGAGGGGGAAGCTGGAAGCCGGCCACGGCTCCCCCCACCCCAGCCTCTCGTGGCAGCTGGAGTGGTGGGTTCCCTCCCACCATGCTGTCCCTTCCTCCAGCTCCCACATTGCCCTTCACAGCCACGGGGTGACGGGTGACAGGCCTTGCTCTGGAGGGAAGGTGCAGGGAAAAGGGACAGAGATGAAGAGGACCCCAGTGTGGGGATGTGGGCAGGGGGTGCTTTTGTCCTCAGGAGTCTCCTATCCATTGAACTCTAAGCTCCAGCCCCAAGTCGCCCCACTTCACCCATCCTCAGTCCAGGCAGAACTGGCTCAGCTCCCTGACTTGCCACTCAGGCTGGCAGGGGAGGGGACATCCATGCTGAGGGGGAGCACAGTCCCCAAGCAGCTAGGATCCCTGAAAAAGTCAAGGTCAAATGGCTTTGCAAGCAGGACCTCTTGCGCTGGGTCCACCCTGATTTAAGGTGAAGCCACGGAGAGGGCCTGGGTGGGGAGTGGGGGGTGGCCTGCCTCTCCTTGGAGGTCCTGCACCCCAGCTGGGACCCCCTTTCCCGCTGGGACCCCCTTTCCCTCGGGGACCAGGAGATGCCGAGGTGCAGCTAAGGTCCCAAGGCAGCCTATCTTCCCACGGTTGTCACCTCGTCCTCCATGGAGCCCCACTGCAGAGACAGCTCCTCACCGACCCCCTGTCCCCCCCCACACACACACACAGTGGCACCGACGCCCACGCAGGCTTGGAGGTCTGTACGCTCTCAGATCTGCCGCTGAGACCCAAACACAGGTGCTCATCCATGAATGTGTATCAAGTCCAGCCGATGGGGAGCAGGCACGTGTGCGCATGTGCACACACACACACACACACACACACACACACACACACACTCTCACGTTCTATTTATGGTTCCCACCCCAGCTCAGGAACCCTGGTGTCCAAGCTTAGAGTTTTTCCAGCTGCTAAACTCAGTGCAATAACAAGTCCTTGCCTGACCCCTCCAGGGCCCAGAAACTGCCCACAGTCCCACAGGCCCCTCTGTCCTCAGCACCCCCATGGCTCCCCGTGCCCTTTCCCTCTGTGCCCGGCATTGCACAAAAGGAAAGCCGGTGCCGTGCGAAAAGATTTCATTTCCAAGTATCCAAGGCCCGGTGCCTGCCCCCCACCCCCCAGTCCTGGCTCTTCACCTTCCCCTTGGCATGCCCAGGGCTGCACTGTATCATGGAGGGTGGACGGGGCAGGGGATGGGCAGGCAGCTCTCACCAGCCTCTGGGAAAGTCCTCCAAGCCCATGGCCCAGGAAGTGCTGCCAGGAGACACGGAGAGGTGCTGGCCTGGGGCCTGGGGACATCGCTCCCCTCCCCACACCCTCCCCAGCTGTCCTGGAGCTCAGGGCGCTGCAGTGGTGTCCGGAGCTGCCTGTGGCTCAGGAGCAGTTGCTCCCCGCCCCTCTTCAACCTCAAATCGGACCTCCATCCTCTCAGGCTGGGGCTCCCAGGGAAACGAAGATTTGCAGGAGCAGGAGCGGGGAGGAGGGAGGACCAACAGTTACCAGATACCCCTTCGCTGGGAGGCCCGGGGATGTGGTGAGGGGGGGGGGGCGGCTGTGCCAGAAATGGACAGAGATGCTGGAGGGAGAGCTGGAGGGCTGGGGCTGGTCACGGGTGGGGTGCCGAAGGGGCGCGCTCCTGGGCATGTGAGCAGTGGTCTGTGAGTGTGAATAATGGGTCTGTGCGTGTGAATAGTGGGTCTGTGCGTGCCTTTGCAGCCAGGGCGCTGTGAGCCCCAAGTTCAAGCCACCCAGCCGGCCAGCTTCTCTCTGTCCCTCCCTCCACAGCCCATCCCACCTCACACTTCCCCTCTACTCTCAGCCTCCAGAGAGCCCTTCTCTCTCCCACGGAGCCACCCTGCTCTCTGGGAATACTCACCCCACGGCCCATCTTGGGGCAGAGTGGCTGCGGGGTCTAGGCTGGAGAGGTTAGCAGGAGACTTCCCAGGCCACGCCGCAGTCTGGGGACGGCCAGAGACCCAGCAGCCAGACAGATGACCAGCAACAGGGTAGCTTTAAATAGGTCCCTCTCCCCCTCGCTCCCGCCTTCCCCTCCTCTGGAAAGAAACGTTTGTTGAAACAGGATCCCTGAGGACTCCTCCCCTCCCGCCCCTAAAGCAACTGGCAGTGGCTGTCAGGAGGTCCTACTGCGTGCTCCCCTCAGCCCCTCCCGTCGCCCCGGGAGGCAGTGCCGAGGAGCCGGGAGTGGGAATGCGCCCCCGGGGCCTGGCAGAGGGGAGCAGTCCTCCCAGCGTCCCAGGAAGCCCGAGGGCACAGGGTGCACCTTCCTTGTGATAAGGAAACTCAGGCACAAGGAGATTAAACACTGTGAACGGACAGAACCAGAAGCCAGGTCCCCGGAGCCTCCCTCCAACCCCCCAGGGAAACAGGCTGTTCTCCACTGTGGAGTCCCAGGGACTCTGCAGTCAGAGGAAGTAAATAGCGTTGGAACCCAAGCTGGGCCCTGCCCTTGTCAGTGAAGCAGAAGGGCCCGGTGAGAGCCAAAGGTGGCTCCTGGTATCGCCCAAATCTGGAGAAGGCGGGGAGGGGTGTCCCCGTCCCCCCCACCCCCCAGCTGGAAGGGGTGGGAAGGAGTGTCTGTAACCTTATGCCAGCGAGCACGTGTGTGTGTGTGTGTGTGTGTGTGTGTGTGTGTGTGTGTGTCTCGAGGAGGTGACCCAGGGTGGGACCAGCTGATCTCAAGGTCTTGTTGCTGCTCTTTTGATGAACAGAGAATGAGGGGCAAAGGGAGAACAGAAGGGCAGAGAGAGAGACGAACCCACCCCTGCCTCCTCCGGAAGTAGTCAGAGGAGGGATTGTCCCGGAGGCCCCGATTTCTATGGACACACAGAGGAAGTGAAGGAAGGCCAGCGGACTGGGGGCAAGTCTGAGCATCCTGAGCCCAAAGGAGGCTGGGAGGGAAGGAGGGCAGGGACAGGGCCTTTGGTCTGGAGGCCTCAGGTGCCACTGGCTGGGCTGGTCCGTCCTTGGCCCCGAGGAAGCTCAGTGCAGAGGGATTACCCACCTGTCCTCCCGCAGATCCATCCGAGGGCACAGGGCTCAAGTCTGAACTCCCCCAATAACGGGCCCTCCCACTAAGGGTCAGAAGCTTTCACCTCCTCCATTCACCTCCTGGCTGACAAGTGGGAGGTGGGTAGGAGGGGCAGCCACCCTCACTCTACTGCCCCTCCGGCCCCTCCGCTGACCTTGAATGTGGGCCTGGGAGGGAACAGGCGGAAACAGGAACCCGGCCCAGTTCAGGCCCCTGTGTGCGGGAGAGAGGGGGTGCGGCTGAAGGTGCAGCAAGAAGCTTGTGGGTAGACATCGGAGAGGCTGCCTCCATGTCACTGGGAGTCACTGGGAGTCACTGGCCGCAGCGGGAGGTCGCTCCGCATGGGGCAGCTGAAGGGCAGCCTTGGCCCGGCTCAGGGTGGACAGAGGATGACTTGGGAGTTAAGAAGCGCCTGCTCCTTAGTCCTGGGCTGGGGTTCTGGGCTGCCTTCTGCCCAGCCCTCTGCAAGCACCAGGTGCGATCGATGAGAAATCAGCGCTGGGCTCTCCTGGTTTCTACTTCCCCTCCCTCAGCCTGCTGGTTCCTCCCAGAGCTGCCAGCCCCTCCAAGGCCCTGGCTCTGGGCCCTGTGGTCAAGCCCAGGACCGGAAAGGACTGTGCCCTTCCTGTGCCCATACAGCCTGGCAGGCTCCCTGCCTGCTCTGCACTGAGGCCAGCGCACAGCCCCAAGGGCACTGCTGCTCCCACATTGGGGCTAGATGACAGATGACAGGACACGGGGCCTATTCCTCCCCCAGGTGCCCCTGAGCACCCTCCCTGCCCAGGTAAGTGTGGGGGCCCTGGGGGGCCTCCTGGGCCTTGACCGTGGGCCAGACTCCAGGACATCAATGGGTGCAGATGCCTGGCCCTCTGATCTGGGAGCCTGGGTTGGGCTCTTGCTTCCTTTGAACAGTCAGTGGTGCCAGTTTGGATCGAGGCCCCTGGAATGAGGAATAAAGCGGAGAGTAAAAAAGACTTGAAATCAGGAGGTGGGGGAGGCAGGAGACTGGTCTGGGGAGTAGGTTTGAAAGGCATAGGGCAGAGAGGGGATCGACAAAGGGCGGATGGGGTCCTGAACCAAATGGGTGGTTGGCATGGGGAAATCTGGGAGGAGGGGTGTGTGTGTGTGTGTGTGTGTGTGTGTGTGAGAGAGAGAGAGAGTCAGAGAGAGACAGAATAGTATACGGCACATGTCTGTACGTGTACCCAGGTGTGTGTTGGCTAATGACTGAGGCGGCATCACTGTATGGGATGTGTGTGGGGAAGAGACCTGTGAATGCACCAAATGGTAATTCCATTGAGCCTTTTTTTTTTTTTAATCCTCATCCGAAAATATTTTCCCGTTGCTTTTTAGAGAGAGTGGAAGAGAGAGGGAAAGACAGGGAGAACCATCCATGTGAGAGAAACACATCAATTGGTTGCCTCCTGCACGAGCCCGGACCAGTGTGGCTGGGGAGGAGCCTGCAAACGAGGTACATGCCCTTGACCCGGAATCAAACCTGGGACCCTTTGGTCCACAGGCCGATGCTCTCTCCACTGAGCCACACCGGCCAGGGCGCAAAGTGGTAATTCCCGAGGAGCAGCTCCTCGGACAGGAGAGGCCACACATGTGTGTCCTCGGATGTGTGTCCGTCTGTTGACCCCCAGTTCTGTGTGTAGCGGTGCGTGTGCCCGTGGCCAGGCAGGGGCGGGTGGAGGCAGGACGGAGCCCGGTGGGTGTACGTGAGAGTCCATGGGAGAATGCGCCTGAGCCGAGGGAGGGGGCGCGGCTCGGCTGCAGATGGGCGCTCAAGGTCTCCAAGAAACAGTCTTGTTTCCTAAGTGACTGGCCTCCTGGGGCCTCCAGCCCAGACTTGAAGGTTGTTTCAAGATCATAAAAGAGAGAGAGGGAGGGAGAGAGGGAGGGCAGGAGCCTGGGAGCCTCTGTCACCCCCACTGTCCCTCCTCCCGCCCCTCACCCCACTTCTTTGCCTCCGTCCTGATTTGGACCAAGCTTCCCAGCCCTACTCGCTCCCTTCCTCCTCCCTGCGGCCAGCCCTCCCTGGGCAGCCTCTCCTCTCCCCTCTCCCTCCCCATCTCTCCACCTCCCCTTTCTCCTCTTCTTCAGGGCCTGTGGTCTTGTCACGGTGGCCAGGCTCCTGGGGCCTCCTGGGGGTGTGGGGGGACGTTTTTTCTTCCATGGGGAGGCTGCCTTGGGGTGATAGGATGGACAAGGGTGTTGAGCAGGCCTGGGGTGGCCATGCCAAGTTTCCAACAAAGGTGCCTCTGACACCCCCGGTTTCTCCGGCCCTCTCTCCTCCCACGCCCGAAGATTGCAGTGGCCTGGTGGTGGGAAGGCTGGGCTCAGGGCCGCTGGGTGGCGTTCAGGTCCCGTGGCTTCCTCAGTTTCCCCACTGGATCCCGGGACGGCAGGGGTTCTCCCCTTTGACTCGGCTCCTCTGCTTTCTTTCTGGTCTTCCTTTCCAATCTCCTCAAAATGGACTCTGAACCCTCTCCTCTGCCTCTTGCTTCTGTCTGCTTTACTCCTTCCCCAGATCGTCCTTATGATTTTCTATTTTCATACCACTGTAGACAGGATCAAAAACGGAGAAGAGAGAAGCATTTCCCTAGGCTCTCTGCCTCTGCTCCAATCCTACTTCCTATTTAAAATATTGTTTAAAGGTGAATTTTTTTAATTGATCTCAGAGAGAGGAAGGGAGAGAGAGAGAGAGAGAGAGAGAGAGAAAGAGAGAGAGAGAGAGAGAGAGAAACATTGATGTGAGAGAGAGCGGTTGCCTCCTGCACACACCCCGAATAGGGATCAAACCCGCAACCTGTGCCCAGACAGGGAATCAAACAGCCACCGTCTGGTGTAGGGGACAGGACGATGCTCCAAGCAACTGAGCCACACTGATCAGGGCTTTTTTAATTTTTATGTGTTGATTTTGAGAGAGAGAGAGAGAGAGAGAGAGAGAGAGAGAGAGAGAGATTATTCTACTTATGTATCATTCATTGGTTGATTCTTGTATGTGGTCTGACAGGGGATTGAACCCACAACCTTGGTGAATCAGGATGACACTCCAGCCAACTGAGCTACTCGGCCAGGCCCGATCCTACTTCTCTTGTCCTCCTGTGGCTTTCTGGGCAGGTTAGCTCCATGTTCGTGTCCTACCTAGACATGCAGGTGGGACACGAACATGGAGAAGGGAGAAGGAAAGGATGTTCAGGGGCCCATGTCAACCCTCCTCCCTGACGTGATGGTCCAGGGCTGCTCTGGGCCTCTGCCTTCCCACCTGCACGCCCTGCGATCCCCACCACGCCCTACGTGAAGGGCACATGCCTGTACGTTGGCCCTGGTGGGGCCATTAACCAGCTGTACGGCTTTGGACAAGAGGCACCCTCACCCTGGCCTTCCGTCTCCATATGAGCAATGAGAGCAGAGGTAGAAACTCCCTGAGGTCCCTTTGTAGCTCCGATGATTCCCAGATCCCAGCTACGTCCTCCCCCGCGCACGTCTCAGCCAGGGCACAGGAGCTTTCCTGCAGTCGTATTTATTCAAGAACCACCTGTTGGAGACCTGGGTTCAGAGGAGACCCGAGCAGGCAGGGACTCCTATTTTATTTATTGGTATAACCCACAGAGATGAGTCCGACCCCTTTGCCTCTTGGCACAGAAGCCAGGAGGGGCTCGGGTCCGGGCAGAGACCACCTGCTTTCTCATGGAAGCCCTGTGATGAGGACGGGGCTGCAATGGGGCTGAGGAACCTGACGTTTTGTGGCTGCATTTGATCAGCAAATACCAGAGGAGTCTGTTGCCAGAGAGTCTTTGGGCTGGAAAAGTATGTCAGGGGAGGTGGGAGGCTGGGCTCATGGGCCCTGCTGAGAGGGGGCAGGGGTCATAGCTGGGCCCTCCAGGGCTCCCATGTGCCTTTGATTACATCTGGGCAGGGAGGAAGTGTGCAGCCTCCTGAGGCAGG